AGAAGTTCTAACATGAGGAGCATATATCCCAAAGTGTTAAAATGTGTCTTCTCCAAAATTTTTGCACAGGAATGTCAGTGTGATTGATAATCAAAAGCCAGAATGTGCACTTGTATGTGTGCTTGACTTTATAAGGACTCAAGAGGCTTCTTTTTCCTCACACCATTTTCATTGTCTCTGCTCCACTGCTTAGAGGTTCAAAAAATTTATCATCTGAATTTAAAAACAACAGAAAATACCTGCTGTTTTGCCTTTGTCTCATTTGATAGGCACGCAGCATTATCCCAATAGGAGTTTAAGATGATAAAACACGAAGTGAGCTAGAAGGCAGACTGAAATGGTTATATCGTCATTAAACTTACGGCACCCTTGGCTGTTGTGATGTATTTGTGCTATGTTGTAAGCCTCAAATGAACAATTTGAAAGTAAATGAATAAAAATAGTACTATAGGTTAGAGAGGTGTTCATTACCCCAGATGTTATGGATTAAGAAGTTTTCACTATTCCCCTTAAAACTCTCTGTGTGTGCGTGAAATAAAAACTTGCTGGATATTTTGGGAGTCTTGTTCCTTCCCTTTGGTGTGAGTTCAGAGCTGTTGGAGTATGGTTTGTGATGGAGAGAACATCCAGAACTATGGCTACACCTTCATGCCATCATAGAGGCAGCCATCACTCTGTTCTGATTGTGCTGAGTGTCACTCAGAAGCCAAATAAATCCAGCTGACACGGCACCAGCTGGATTCATGCTGTTTGCAGTAAAACTTCTCCAGGTTTTGATGAGCCAGGGGAAGCAGTGTTGTCACGCTGCTGACAGCTGGGTGTAGGGCCTCGCTTTGTTTAACTAGATACATTAGTCACTGCGGAGAACACTTAAAGATGTGTTAGAAGACATTGTCACTGCAGTGCATTGAAAAGTATCAGCAGAGCTTAGCAAGGCATCTGACCGTGATCAAATATTCCTCTTAAATTAAAAGCATGTTTAGGTATTCTGTTCAGCCTGTTCTTAGGTAGCTAATAATGGAGTTGGATCTTCTTGCTCTATTTTGAGGATGTCTTACTGAATCATGCATAGAATGATGTGACTAATTTGTGAAACAGAAGTCCCTGTGCATCAGCTGTTCACTGTGGTTTTCCTGGGGGGAAGATAGGACTTTTTATGTTGAAAGACACTGATCATTCTTTTCAGCATATTAAAGAACAAATGTACCGTAGGCTTTTCTATAGAAAAAAACCATCATTACATCTGCATAAATCTCACCAATGCTAATGGGACTTGTAGGAACATAGATAAAAGACAGTCACACTGTCAATGAGATTTGGAGTAAAACAGACCACAGAAGTAGGAGGGTTCATCCCTGTAGGGGCAACCTGCAAGCGTCTAACTCAGCCCACTTAGAATAAACTCTTGGCATACAAAGCTAAGGCTCTGCAGAACAGAGTACCTACAGTAGCTAATGCAGTGGCTGCACAAATTTACTGAACTCTGAACTGAGTTGCTGCCTAGGTGGATCTTTTCAGGAAAAAAAAAGTTTGGTCTCTGCATCTACTCTGCCATAGGCGCACATATGAAGTCTGATGGAAGACACCCAGGAGGACAGTCCAAAAGCACCTGGGCTCTGTGACTGGGAAGGAATAGATGGGACTATGGGGGTTGAGCTCAATTGTGGGCATAATGGGGGTAAGCTGAAGCCAGAAAGTTCACCTCAAGGAGTAAACATGCGCGAGGGGACAGCGCAAAAGGGTCAAAGAGGCAGACTTGTGCAATCCTGAGAGATTAAGAAAGGAGCAGGAAAAGTAGCAAGCAGCACGTTTTTAAAAGTAGGAAGAAATACGTGATAAAGGAGAAAATTAACAAAGAACAATACAGTTAGTCCTCACAACTGATCACAAATCATAACGTTATCATCTTGGGCAGAAGAGGAAGGAAGTTCTTGGGGTGGACCCTAGAACAAAGGTGTTAAATGCAGTGGTCTGATAGAGAACATGGAATTGCCACAGAGTTGACAAACTCAGTACAGCATACAGTAAGCTTTATTCCTTGACAGTTTCTGAGAGGGTTTTGTCTAAAATACTGTTAGAGATCTGTCCAAGTTCTATCCACGGACGCTTGAAAACTGTAGACCAAAAGCAGCAGACACACTGGCACCAGTAATTGCTTTGTCCTAGATTCAAATATTAGGGATTCCATTTTTTATCTTTTGTCTTGCTGTTTTAAAAGTATGGGTTGTCCTCTTTATTAGTGTAACATACAGATTGAATGTTCAAAGCAAAGAAAGCAATTAAGAACTTAATTTGTAAGGCTTCTTTAAAAGGAAAATTTTGCAAGGAAGAGTTTTGGTTGGTCCCTTTCCTAGGATCCCACCTGTAAATGTAGTTCTCAACACTGACTTTTAACACATGAGTCAGAAAGTCAGGCTTTCCACAAAATGAAGTGATTGCTGCTGTCCCTGATGTACCCTTCTCATTTTCCTGGGGCTGTGTGATACTGCCTGTACTGTCCTACAGCCTCTTTATGGTCTGCCAGAGTTTGTTTTTTTTTTCTTTAAAAAACAGTATACTTGGGACACGTGCTTCTGAAAAAGTACTGTGTTGTAACCTGATATATTTGGATATTCTTCAGTTCAGCAGAGAAAAATGGCGAGTTGTCTTTTCATCTCAGAAGATTCACAGTAAATAGAAAAAATAAAAATCTTATCGGTTGTTAGTGCCCAAAGGAAGTCCGTAAAGAGGACTTCTGGATGTATTCAAATAAAGCTAAATTCAGAGGGATTTAAGAGGTATAGATAAAGCATTGCATAATTCTACTTGTGGAGAAGACTACAATAGAAAAGATTGGCAGTGATTTGAAAGTATCCCTGCTGCTCTGGTAGGGAAAGGAGCACACAGTTTACGGTGATTCAGTAGGACTTTGCTGTAAGCAGGTTAGTTCCTAGCTGAGTTGACTGAACAAGGTACAAGGTAATTTTCTTTACAGGAATATAGGTGTGAGCCTTTAAATAAAAAGAACTGCTGTTGACTTCAAAACTGAGTCACCAGCACTGATAAATTTTTGAAGAAGTCAATTTTCCATCCTTTAAAACTATTTAAGAAGAGTTGTTCGTTCTTTCAAAAAGAGCATATGCCCTTTCTATTTCTGCCTATATATTTCCTAATAGATAGTGATGGAGGACTGAAAAGCCTTTGAACACCATGGAGACACTATTTTATCAGTGTTGCATTGTGACATATTCATGACCATTTTTCTTTGTTTCCTTAACCTTTTTTTTAACTTCCTTACTTCATTCCTCTTTGGTGTATGTGTTCATTTTAGTGATAGTGTAGTTCATGTCATAAGTTATTTACTGTTAACTTCTGAATACTACTCCGAGGCACCTAGCAGGCTTGATAACATATTAGCCACCTAGTCATTGTGCTTCCCATGTCAGCTGTAGAATGCAATAAATATTTTGGAAGTACTTAGCATAAATCTATTTCATCGAAATGGCTATATAGTTTCACTTTGTCGAAATACCTACATGTTGGCTTGCTTTGCTGTTTTAACTGCTGTTCTATTTGTTCCTAACTTCCCCTGTTTAACAGCAGACAAACCCAGGGAGCACTGAATGAATCGGATGATCCCGAAACAGGCTGTCTAACTGATAACAAGCCAACTTCTCGACACTTCTATCCTGTCGCCTTGCTGCTTGTCAGCTCACACTTGCTGGTTGTGTGGCTTATTTTAAGTCTTGCTTTGCTATTAGCCAAATATCAATAAACTTCACTTGTGTTCCTTTCTTTTCTACAAACAGCAAGAAAATAACTTTAGCAAAAGGAATTATGCTGTAATATTTCTACAGTCTCAGACCCCAAGGATTCGTCTTTAAGATACAAATGTCTGAAATGTACTATGTTCTCATTTTTTTTTTCTGAACTCTTAAGAAGTATACTATGCATTGAGTGAATTGATTTGCTCTTTCTGTTCACGGTAAAGCTTTCCCACTGTAATTAGCTCAAAGAAAGCCCACTTACAATGCTGTCACTGTATGCAAGAACATGTGGAATCCTGAATGCTTGAACCCCTCTTTCCAGAGTAATTAGTCTGATGAAAAAAAAAAAAAAAAAGAAAATGAATTTGCACAACACAAACTAAGCCCTAGACAAATATTACAGGGTGGTGGTTTGTGAGATCTAACTTTTGTTGTGTTACTTTCACTGTTACTAGCTGATGGGATCTTTTTTGTTTAACAAATGGTTACTTTGCTACAGCTAACCCTTTTCTGTCAAGTAACTAAATGGAATAGAGTAAGGTCTGGTTTGTAATGCAATTAACCTGTTTGTAATTGTTGCTTTAGTTGCTTTTGCCTTCAAGACACTTTTATATTCTTTTTAACAAAGTCCTGTTTATGTCTTGATGCACCACTTTGGCACTTGTGACTTTTGTACTGTATGTGAACATCCTTCCTTTATAAAGCAGAGAGTTGGATCGGGCTGTCTGAAAAGCCATTCTCTCTTTTTTTTTTCATTGCAAAGCTGAACATACGGGACATGAAGTAGAGATGAAACTTTCCTTCACAAATCTCTAGGGCCAGACTTAATAAATGCCTTATTCCTAGAATATACGTATGTAGGGCAATGTGTACTCTCACATATATAGCAAACAATTTGAGAAAAAAAAAAAAAAAAGAAAAAAAGAGAAAGTTTAAAAGGCAAATATATTTCTGGAATTAGAACAAAATGTATCATTAAAGTATTTAAAATTTTTTTACTAAAGTTTAAACCTCAAGGGCAAATATATTAGGGGGAAGAAAATCTTATCACCTATTTCTGAGGGCAATAACTGTACTGGGCCTGGCCTTGGATTTAATTTTGTAAGATGTATCATCACTTGTGGAAAACAGAAATGTAGAGTTGAATCTTTGTTATTTTTACTTCAACTGTTGCTGAAACTCTGCAATGAACAAATAAAGGATATTTATTTATTCTGTGTTTCATGAAGTTGTACTTTTTCCCCCTTTCACTAGAGAAGGATGCCGCATAGAGAATGTACTGAAGAATGTCAAATGCAGAAAGTATGCATTCAACATGATACAGCTGATGGCTTTCCCAAAGTACTACAGACCTCCAGAAGGGACATATGGAAAAGCTGACACCTAAGTTTAACAAAAGTGTAATCAGGAACATACATCACGCTAATTAGTGCATATAAAAATTGCTGTTTATGACTTATTGGGAATGTGTAACCAGTTGAGGTGTTATTTTTATCAGGTTTTATCATTTTACATTAAAATAACTCCAGTTAGTCATTATGAAATAAAATATCATGAAAAAGCAATGGACTGAATCTTCTCAAAGCCAAATATATTCAACTTTTCTTTGTGAAGTTGAAGCTTAGTCTGACTCATCAGCCAGCTGGAATTAGTTTTTTGGGTCGTTTGATCAAAGATTAAAAAGGGAAATGTCGTTTGCTGTAGGAACTGAGGTTAGCAATGTGGAAGCTGGCATTCTGACTCCAAACCAAAACCTTGAGATTTGATTTAAGGGGTTTCTTACTGCAGGAAATAGTGTTTTATGGAACCAGCATAGCACCAAGGTTTTGATCACTGGTGATTAAATTCTGCACAGAAGTGTTTATGAAAGATGCTAATGTTAATACCTGGGCTAAATATAATTTTGGTAATTACATTTAGCTTCTTTACATAAGCATGGTAACTTCATAATGGTTTTAGTAATTACAGCCTGTAATTTCAGTAATTCCATTCTGTTTCCTTGCAGTTCATTTGGATGTATCCTTCTTAGGTTTCTGTACCACAGCCAAATACCACATATTTCACTTTCACATAAATCACACTGAAATCAAGGGGATTAATTCTTCAAGTAAGGTGACCTGAATTTGACTTGTCATGTTCCCATTTACTGTAAACCCTTAAAACTAAATTTTCTTTAATGTTACAAAAATGAGTTGTACATACAGAAGCTAATGTATCTTTAGGCTATAAAAACATGTATGTTTTTACAGAGCCTAAGATAAATGTTATAATTATGAGTAACCTGCTGTATTAGGACTAGTTAGCCACTGCAGCTGATTTATATCAAATTTGTAAAGCTGCATGTAGACACTCTAGGATGAAGAACTATCAGCTTTAAAAATGAATGTTAATGCTTCTGCCAGCTTGTGTTAGTTCTGAAATTTGTCTTGCAAAGAACATTTGTGTTTTCTAATTGTATCTATTTATTGCCGCCTTCTGCCTCCCAGAGAGAAATACAATTAAAAAACCCCAAGTATTTACTGGTTACTGACCTTTATGTAATGCATTCATTTTGAGGAAAAAAATATCTAGAGCAGAAGTGTGAGATTTTACCCTAATGAAACTGCACTGGGAATTTGAGCATCTGTAGGAAATTGTAATTGCCATGGATATAGAAGTTAATGTCTGCTTGCTCCTATGGAAGTCAAAGAAATCTTGATCCACTGTGAGTTACAACTTGTTCTTTTTAATCCATTAATGCTCATTACTGAGTATAAATCTCTAACTATCCTAGTAAAAATACATATTTAAGAGCTGGATCCTGCAAACTCTTAATTGGGTGATTACGTGGAAATGATCTATCATATGAATAAAATTAAACCCATCATGTATATTTGCAAGATCAGGCTCTGGAGCTTGTAGGAGAACATCAGGAAGAGATTCTCGTTCCAATATTCATTGACTTCAGTGAAGCCAGGAATCCACCTATACAATGTATTTACCTGAATATTTGGCACTTTTTCCAAACTAAAGTGGGTAATTTAAATAGTGTTTTGGTGCATTTGTTGTTTATTTGTATTATATAATGTGCTATCATGAATGACTTTTGTTCTTCTGGAATGTATTCCTTCAACATCAGATGTCAGAAGAGTTGCTATTACATCACAGATAATCTCAGACAGATGAGATGCCTTGATTTTTTTTTTTTTTTTTTTTTTTTTTTCATGTGCCAGTAGAAGTAGGCACTACTCATTGGCTGGGCAGATGTGTGAATAAATTTGTGTTTGGGTCTTTAACTATAATATAGCTGATCTGTACAAAACTTTTTTGTGGATTTATGGAACATATCTTCCTAGGAAAGTAACGTTCTGTTAGACTGCCACAGTAGCCCTTGCTATCTGCCATGTTTATTATTAGCTTAAAAAAACTCATTACAGTTTAGAAGTGTACAGTTTAGAAATAGTGATGACTTCCTCATGCACCTCTGAAATAATCCCACAGATGCACAATAGAGAATACTGGCCTTCCTACAGCAATTCTGAAACAATTTGTAAAAGTCTGTATGGAGATGGGATTTACTGGCGGGTACTATAGGCTCCTTCAGTTCTTTATCTTAGTCCTGTGGGCACTTTGTCAAGTTCAAACTATGAAATTATAGATTTTCTTTTTATCAGGAAAATAGTCTTTCAGGATCTCACCTCAGCATTTTAATCCCATTTGGGTTCTAAATCGCCATTGTCACTCTTATGTTACTTTTATACTGAAGATCCTTTCCACATTGAAGCCATATTTTTGGAAGGTGGGGGGAAGGTCATTGGTTTACTGTCCTTTTTGTTTTAACAGCCACTCCCAGTATGTACTTGTGAAATTAAATAATCTGTTAAAGGTCAATTACCTTGTCAAAGGTAATTAAGAAAAAAATCTGAAACCCACATCAGTGTGCTGCAGTGAAGCTTCATTAGGTGGGCTTGGGCATTACAGAAGAGTAGGCTGGGGGGGTTGTGCTAAATAAGGATGAACTTTTTCAAGCAGTTTCTTGATTGGAACATGTTTTTGTAGGTCACGAGACCTTTGTAAAACCCACTGACATGGTTCCAAGTCATCCTACGCCCGGATGTTTCCTGGTTTGGTCGTTGCCTGCTGTGGGCTACCGCAGGTCCGTATAGGCAAAGGCTGCGTCACCAAAGCTGAGTTGGCAGCTAAGCATGGATCCAAAACTAGTGTTTTTTCAGGTTTGCCTTTTACAAAGAAACAAAGGGGGGTTTGCTGCAGGTTGCTGTAGTTACGTTACTTGGAGTACATTTATTCTTTGCAGAAGCTGCTTCAAGACTTGAGCGTTGTTTGAATGCCTAACAGGGGAGTTAAATAATCCGTGAGGTCTTGCACACATCCTTGTGGTTCACTGTGAATATCAGAGGAGTAAAATTAAGCAAATGAATTTTTATGAGCAAGCTACATCATTTGTTTTGCAAACGGTTAAGGGTAGCACACTGATTTTGGTGGCGGATTCGCATAAAATGGATTCCGTATCTGCTCTCTTAAAACTTTTGTAATGTATGATATAATCTCCTTTAAGGGGAGGGCAGTTCTCAAGGGCTAGAAGATGAACATTGAGAAATATATCTGGCATCTAAAGGTAAATCCTGTCTCACAGAAGATATTATTTCTAGAAATAAGGTCATCAGGATCTGCCTCGAGGAATCCTGAAATAAGGGCTTCTAGCTCTGAATATTTGACAGCGCATTACACGCATATATGGGGGTTTTGTACCACAGACATGTCTAAATAAATAGAGAGCTAGTATAAAATGTCTAAAAAAATAAGAAAAGGAAAGATTTTTTTCTCAGAGATGATTGTAATACTGTTATAATACATAACATGCATAGAACTGACATTATTAAGCAGGCAGGTCTTTTCTTCTGAAGTCTTCTTTTGGGGAATTTAAAATACGTTCTTGTTAATGTTTATGCTTTGGCTTTTATGGAGCAATTAGGAAACAGAAATTTTTATGTTATCTGATTTTTGTCTGTGTGAAACTGTATTTTGATGGAATACAAGCAATGTATGTGTTTTAAAGAACAAATGATTTAGGAGCACAGCTGAAACAAAATATGAAGTGAGAAAGAGCCTTAATTAAGTCCTTTGCGATGTTAATTTTTATACTGTCTGAATTTTGGCATTACGTAAGTGAAATTAACAAACACTTTCTGTGTCTAAATCAACCAGTCCTGATGACAGTTCACTTATTTGCAGTGAAATAAATTGTAATGGTATTCTAAATCATCACTAGTAATTTAGATGTAAAGAAGTGCAACAAAACATTTTGAAGCCCACTATATAATATGCCTGTTAAGAGCTTCAGAAAATCTTATTTTTATCTCTAGTTTAAACACAAGTTTCAGGAAATCTTATGGTCCACTTATAAAAAGCAAAAAATGCACTGAACATCAACTGGTGTAATAAAGACAGAAATTGCATTAAAAACTATGCAGCAAAATTACTTGTGTGAATTAATGTATGTAATCAGTTAACAGTCTTAAACGTATATTGTGTCAGTTGGCTATGTTGTAAACTTAAAACCATTGATATCTATATTTATGCTTTTTTTCTTTTTTTTTTTTTTTATTGTAAAGAAGTGTGCTGTACAGGCAATGCCATGAGACATGAATTTGCAATCTAAGTGCTTTAAACTAATTTACTGTTCTTCAAAACACAAACTTACCTTGTAAATTGCATGTTACAAATACACAAATGCTTTTTTAAAGAAAAAAAAAAAAACACACCAAAAAAAAAAAAAAAAGAAAATTCCCAGACTTTGGTCTCTAGAGCATTGCTTTTTTTTTTCCTTACTCATGCAACACATGGACGGTTGTGTTGCCAGAACATTCAGCTTACACTCTGCAGCACCCATTTATTTGCTCTTTCTTTCCTAGCATCTACTGAATAAGTACTATAAAAACAATGAATTTCAGCATGATACTCATGATCCAAGATTAAAAACCTGTATTTGCTCAAAGAAACAGGAAACTTAATGGTTTAGAATAAACAAAATAGAGGACACTTGTGAACCAATGTATCCGTATTCAGAAGAGGTGGAACATAAAGCATGGGGTTTTGTGTGCTGACAGGGAGAAAGAGCTATGGTAGAAATCTGACTGTGATATAAAAGCACCCTGGACCTGTGGGGTCTGGAGTGGTGAGATTTGGACTCTACTGCTCGCTCTTAGATCTCTAACAATTGGCAGTGGTGTTTTGTACTCTCCATGCATGCGAAGTACTTCAAAAGTTTTCAGTGCTCCTGTTCTGTTTATGAATGGTCTGACTTTAAAGTTTCTAAAATCACAAATTACTTTGGTACTTTTTTTTCATTTTGTGTAGCTGTTCCTTGTAATGTTCCTGTATCATACTCTGGAGCACATGGGGGCTATGTATAAGTAACATTAAGAGGACTTCAGTCCATAGCGTGTGTTCGGTCAGAGAAATTAAGCACAACTAGAGCAACTCAACTCTTTTTATATTTCAGGATTTAACATTTTTGTTTCATTGCTGTCTGTAAGCCATGTCCATTGTACACTGTGTGTATATTTTTATTTAAATAAATGTGATGTTTATTTTTTATGTTTCTGACTTTTTTGTTTGTTATTCATTTTTCATTTTCATTACGGTGGTGTTGCCCAGAGGGCAGACTGTGCATGATGCTGAGCATGGTTGCCTCCTAAAGGGCTTGGTGGAAGCCCACCCACAGGTCTCGTCACTGCTTGGAGCAAGTATTTAAGAAAAGCTCCGATACAACAGTAAAAAGCCTGCAATGGCCATAAATTAATTGTTCCTGTTGTTCCTAGTCATACTACAACTTTGATCTTGGAACCAGGTGGGTCCTGCATTTTCTAGTTAAAACCAAACAAAATGTTGACTTACCTGTAAGGAAACACCTTTCACATAACTAGTGATCTACAGAGAGCTATTCAGCCTGACAGAGGTGGAATAAACATCTTTCATAATAAGGACTATTAAAAAGGTGATGTGACATGCTTTAGCTGGCATTTTGTCTTCACCTTCTTAGTGCTGGATGCTAGACCTTGGGAAATAAGTAAGGGTTGTTTCTGTGCTGCTTTTCTGAGCTGCTGTTGGTAACTGGTTTTATTATATGATCTGTCATCACAATGAAAGGTAAGTTCTCCATTGTTGGCTGAAATGTAGCAAATTTGACCTTTTTTGGGGGTATATGATATAATGTGGCTCACCTTCTGTGTTACTAGTGCTATGATTAGAAGCTTGTTGCATAATTTACTTGCTCTGTTTATATGGTAGTACGTTTAGTTGTTTTACTGTGATATATTCAGTGAGATGTTAATTACCTGCAAGGTTCTTGGTAACCTTTAGAAAGCACCAGGAACTAATGGTTATTATGGAAATAAGTTTAAAAGCTGTTAGCATTCAGCCTAGGAATTTTGTCTCTTACTAATAAAAGTGACACTTTTTAAAAAATACTTCATCTCACTTTGCATGCTTATGAACTTTATCTTCCATGTCAACTGGGAGCCACTTTCTTCTCATGACAATGTAAGAGAGAAAAGGAGAAAGAACCTACAGCTATAATGAGATGATAGGGCAGTATGACAGTAAAAATGTTTTCACCAATTCCCTTCCCAAAGTTACTTTGGGGCCTGTTTGAGTAGACGTAGGACTGGATGTTTCTGAACCATAGTCTGCACTGGGCTGTCCCTTGTGGGCACTGGGAATATATGTATATATACTACATAGATTATTTTTTATATATATATATATATATATATATACACACAAGTTCTGCTAGGCAAGCCAGTGAGAGCTCTCTTGTGCACTTAATGTTGAATCTTGTGAGAATTGCAGCCTTTGGTAGTTCTGTGACAGCTGTTGTTAATGAAATTAAGGGCAATAAGGTTCTGGATGCAAACTGGACTGTCTGCTGTTTGTTTTGCCCATATAAACAGACCCTATGTGTTTCTGTATAGGATGTCCCAGTACGGTCCTAACCCAGTACATCAATGAGAAGTATGTTTGCTCTGCTGCTGGGAAGATTTTTGGCATGGTTTAATGGAGAAGCTCTAAACTGCTTCTAAATAAACTGACATAAGAAGTTGAATTCAAAGACTAGCTGAGATTTTTTTTCATGCATACATGTATTACACATGCATATTATATATACATTTGCATATTTTTATATACTTGTAGGATGGGAAAAGGCAGTTAAATAAGATCAATTAAAAAATTGAACTTATACTTTTATAGTATACTTTTTTATATATATTTTGCTATTGGAAGTGTTGCGCAAAAGATAGGTTCACATGAACAAAGCCTCAGGAGAGCCTGTAGTATGCATGGTGGCGTATGTTGACTCTAGTGGTAAAAGTTACTTCTGAGGAAAAAACAAAAGGAGAGAGAGAAAAGGGGAAAAGGAAGATATTTCCCAGTGGCTCTCACTGGGGGATGTTTCCCAGACTGAGCCTACCGTTCCTGCCAGGAGCCCGTAGAGCTCAAGCTTTTCCTGTTTGTTCCTGCCTCATAACGCTGTCGGCACTGACCAAAGTGGGCCTTGATCGGGGCAGTTCTGTCTGCTGCCAAGCTGTGAGGCTTTGTGCATGCGTGTCTGAGTTTGTAATGAAAACCAGAGGCTACAGCTGAGGGGCAGGAAGAGGCAAATTCTGTGCCAGTGTCAGTGGGTTCCCATAAGTGCCTGCCCTCACTGTACCAGGCTGCAGTGAGACTAACAGCCTAAGAACAAGGGCAAAATACTGCTCTGTCTTATCTTTCCCCAGCAAAGTCCATGTGGATATCCATTTTTCATGCAAGAATAATTTGTGATTGCTGTAATTTAGAGGACAAAGCCGTTTAAACTGCTGACTTGAACCAAATTAGAACAACTGTCATACATAAGCACTGACTGCCACAGCAGAATTCTGCCCTTAGGTGATATCACTCCTTAGAGATTTTCTTTCAGTGTAAAGCTTAACATATTTTGAAACAGAGAAAAGTTTCAGGTGTGATCCTGAAGTTGTATTCAGAAGTGAAGGATCAGCAATGGAGCACTTCAGGTGAGAAACTAACTCCAAGGACCAGATTTTGAGAGAGGATTCTGAAGCATTCACATTCTTGGACTTTGTTTCAGAATTGTGAATGGCAAAAACATTTTGTTTGTACAAGGCCTCAAACAAGAAGAGCTTGTTCATGGTCGTGGTTTGTGAATACTCTTCTAGTATACATTAAAGTTGATGGCAGTTTCCTGTAAATAATTATAATAAATAGATAAATGTCTAATGAACTTTCACAAATACATGTCTTTAACACGGTCTCTTTAGAAAGAATGTGTGCTGTAAAATATTCAGAAGCATCTGAATGTGGTCTGGTTTTGTTAATAAGACAGGCCTTCAACTTGTTTGGTCACTTATCAAGGGAAAAAAATACATCGTATAAATACCAGCTTAATTCTGTTTTCCCTGGTGATACTTAAATCAGGGTAGATTCTCAACACTTTCCATCTGAATTTAGTTTCTCTCTGGTATGGTGGGTAGTAAGGGAAAGGTTAGAGAAGCTCAAGTTAATGAAATATCATAGTCTGGCTCGTATTATTTTTCAAACAGGACCAGAATATCAGGAAATAATTACAAGGATGTGTCAGAAGGATGTTCATAAATTGGGTCATCTGACTTGGTTCTGTTTCCAGATGGAGACTTAAAGTCTTTGTGACAAAGATGAGGCTGATGTTAATGTGTTACTCTCACAGGACTGGTATCCAGCAGCCAAATTCTGCTGTCTGCTCTGTCATATGGCAGCTCTCAAACAGGCTCAACAGGCTCAGTAACACCTCCAAAATTCTCAGTAAATCCCAGCCTTCTTAGCACTCAGTTTCATGCTTGATGATTCAGTGTTGGGGAGCAATGGGCAAGCACAACCAGCCCCCTGCCCCAATACTGCACCGTGGCACCTGGATTCTCATTAAGTATAGCAGCTATATGGCTAGATGCTTATGTGATGGAACGCACAGTTAAGTTTATGGGATGCACCCAGCAGATAAACAGAAGTAATAAAAAAATCGGGGAACAAAGAGGTCTCAAAGGACGGATAAAGAAGGTCATGTCTTAACCTAAGCTCTGCATTTCATACTGCATTCAACTTTTGTCTTCACCTCAGATATTCTTGGAATACTTTGTTGCTTTGTGACTGTGGTAGCAGCTACGATGGAAATAAGTCTACCAGTTTATCAATATAAGTATGACAAATGTCCTTGAACAAATGATAGGATTGTTTAAGAGCCGTGGCTGCTCACCCAAGCAGGTATCATGCACATACATTCTCATACAGGCAAAATGAGTTTGCAGAAAGATGGTCATAGCACACCGTACACACTCGCAAAAGCAAGAGACCAAGACAGTGCTTAACTGAGAAGGTAAGAAGTGAGTGCAAGAGTGCATCAAGGCAATCTTTTTTATGGTTGATAAGCATTGTCTCTGGATTTCACATCCAAAGATGAAAAGACCCTTTTAGAAAGTTTATTGCAAGACCTAATATAAACAGAAAGTACTTGCTTGTTTAGGTAAGTTAAATATTCCACAGGAACTTTTGATCCAAACCAAGCTAATTTTCACCAAAAATCCCAAAACTCCAAAAGTCATAAAATACCATTAAGTAAAATTAAACGGTACTTTTAACAGCTAGCGTTACTTTCTTATAATACACCACCTCCATGCTTTGTTGAAACAGAGGGTTATTAAAATTTTTTTTTAAATCAGGACTTGT